ATTTTATTCTTTTTAAAAAATATTCTTAAAATTAATTTTTTCACAAAAGATTGCATTGTCATCAGTTTCTAAGCTATCCTGAAAGTTTCAGCTTGCTAGCTAGTCGGGAAGTGAGTGAAATTTGAGTTTCAAAATTTGATCCGGACAAACAGACAGACAGACAGACAAGAAAAGTGAGTTCATAAAAACGTGGTAAAAATAAGCACTTACACTTACAGTACAGTACTGTATATTGATACAGTTTTGGAACACCTTAAAAAGACACTAGCTCGTTTTGGATCATAAATTAGGATAAATTTAGAATAAGATATATTATAATAGGATATATTATATTTATAATAAGATATATTAAATTTATAATAAGATATATTACATTTATAATAAGATATATATATTTTTTTTTTTCCTTTTTTTCATAGAAATAGCCAGTTCTAGAAATTTTGGAGGTGTCCATATCTCGATTCATTGTCTGGATATTCGGGCATATTTTGAAAAGTTTCAAGTGGTCTTAAATCAAATCATCCGCATGTCTGAGCCCCACTGTAATCCGTGCAGGTATGAGCTTCCAAGATTGAGAGTAGAAATGAACGATAATTAAAAGAACTGTTGACTGATGTAAAGCTTGACAACTCCATTGATAACATAGCATGAAATAACAAAATAATTTTTTAAAACATTCTCTTTTCGTTCCGTGCTCTCATTTGATGTTTTTTCCGATCGTGCATTTCCTTCATTTCTTTCTGGTATTTTCGGTGCTAAAACTTCATCCGTTTTAATTTTAATCCTTCAAGGAACTTGGAGCCCGGTTCAGTACGTGGGAGCACATCGGGGACGAATTGAAGCGAGATCCATTGGCCTGTGCGAAACGTTTTCATCAGCATTTGGATGAAAATCAAAACGCAATCATCACCTCTTCAATTTCTTCCGTTTTGAAGAAAATTGCTCTTTCTAAGCGTGGGGAAATCATCAACTGGAGAAACGTAACGAGCCAATCTTTTTCCCATCAGCTGATATTCTTGTGAAAAAATAAAAACGAGTCTTCGTTGAAGGTGAGAGACGCTTCCCCGGAACACAATTTAACCGACGTCAAAGCCCTTTTCAAACGATGGATGGTCAAGAACAGTTACTTTCGGAAAGACGGAGCCAAGTTCAGTTCGGAAGAAACCCTGTTGATGATCGCGGGGATCATCTTGTTTGGGAAGAATTTCGACGCTATGTCTTGTCTTTTTCCGCGAAGATCTGCGAAACAGTTGCGTAGGCATCACAATTACGTATTGAGTGAAGTGGAAAATGATTCAAGACGCGTGAGTTGTCTTGGCATTATTTTGATTTTCTTTTCTTTCGAGATGAAATTCGAGTCTCACTTCTATTTTTGATGCCTCAGACGGAGTATCGACAAGTTATGGCTATTGCGTCGAACGCCCTGCAACTCACTGCTGAGAAAATCGAATGCGGTTTGGCGAAAGAACAGGTGATGACGTCATATTTTTTTTTTAGATGAGAACCAAAATTGTACAGATACGACAGAATCTCGTTACAACGAAGAGTTTGCGACATTTAAAAAAAGCTTCGTTCTAAACAATTCGTTAAAACGATCGTAAAATAACCCAGTATTTATTGGACAGGGACCGCCCAACAAATTCATGGTGAGCATATTAATTCATTTTAACGATATTTTTTCGATCTGTGATCGTTTCTGTGGGCAAATGAAGCAAATGTGAGTTCGTTGCAGCCTGGATAATACAAGGACTACTTGACAAATATCCTCATTAACTTCTAAATTAATCGAAAGGGCTTTCTGTGTTTGGAAAATATATCCCTTTGCTTCATCTCGATCAGTTAGATGTATACTTGAAGGTCATCTTGAAATTGTCAACTGAATCTAAAATTAATCTATGCTCTAATCTGTGCAGAAATTGACTAAACTTCCTTTCGAGTCACCTTGATCAGTCAAGTTCACATGAAAACTGTTTAATGTCATCTCGAATTGTCAACTGAATTCAGAAGACGTTCAGTTCTGTGTAGAAATTGACCGGACTTGCTTCTGGTTCACCTATTGATCAGTCGATTTTACTTGAACGCCGTTCAATGTTATCTCTTGATTTTCAGCTAAATTTGAATAAATTTCTACGTTGTTCTGTACAGAAATTGACCAAGAGAAATATTTTCGTGACTCTTCGCCGGGCTCTCGGGTTTCCGGATTCTTACGGGGATTGGAGTAAAACCGCATTGTGTGATACAAAGAAACCAGCCCTTGTGAATGACTGGGACTGTTTTTTGTTTCCGTCTTCTGACACCGTGATTATGGACAAGGTTGCAGATGTGCGATGTCCTCGGGATTATTTGGATGTCGCGAGCTACCTTATTCGGCTCGGGAGACATCGTCAAAAGATGTTCGTCAGAAGACCCGGTAAATGACTTCTTTTTTCATCATTTTTCAGAAATGGAACATATTTTTGCTGAAGAAATTCATCATCGATGATGATTAAAATTTGCTCAATGGGGAATCATATCCGTTAATTGAGGTTCAAAATTCATCTTCTGTGCCAAACATGTATGAGTATGCTGATGAAGGATCGAATGAACTGTTCTGGACAAATATATGATTGGAATTTGTAGTAGTTTCTGGGTCCTGTTATCCTATTTAGCTTATTTTTAATTTAGAATAACTAAAAGATATGGTGCTGGTGAGAAAATCTCACCTCAATCGGAAATAGAGGAATGTCTCGCGGAAGCGTGAATTCCTCGGTGTACGAAAAATAGTACTTCGTAACAGTCCAAACTTTTCCTTGACTTTTTTCTAAGTTTACAACAAAATAAATTTGTGATATACTCAACTTTTGGCGACGCTTATAAAAAAAATTCGACGGATCAAGTGCTTTTGAATGCGTAATGCAAACACATGGAACCTTTTTTGAATATTGTGACGAAACCTGCTTCCGCGGATATTTTCCGTTAGCTAGACTTACAGATTTGACATATCGTGTTTGACGTCATACGAAACAACAAAATGTGATACATTACCTGCACCCATAATATTATTGGTGCCCCATTTTTTATTTTTTTATTTTAGCTAGTGTTCCCGGGAGTTCCGTGAATCAGTATATGAATGAGCTGATGATCGCTATGCAAGTACTGGAACTGCCATCAATAATTGGTTGGGAAGTTACCACGTCGTTTCCCATGCGCCCCAGGAAAGATCAGGAGTTGACCGAAAGCGAGGCGGAAAAATGGCTCATTCCTTTGGGTTCATCCTTTTTCTCAAAACCTCGATTCAGTGACAATAAATTCAACGTGTTGGAAAAGTTTCCTGGCATGTGGATGTTGCATGTGAGTTGAGCGTGTACTTTAAAAAGTGTTTTCAAGGTTTCTTGGAATTCGGGAAATGGAAAATGCTTGGGGCTCCGCGGAGCTGAGACTGAAAACCTTTACCTTGTTATCTTATTCAATTTGTGATGTCTTTGCAGCCATCGGGAGATTTCTTGTACGGCCGAGGCGATGTTTTCCGAGCTGCTTTCTGGAAAATATCAGAATGCACTCTAAGGTCGGTTTTTGATGGTCAGAATCCGAGTCTCGATTCGGTAATCGACAGGAAATTCGTGTGCCCTCCGACGTCATCACTGATGGCCGCTTATCAGGTTTTTGTCGCAACAAAAAAAAAACCGGATTTAGAACGAATAGAAGCAAAATTGAGTGTATCTTGTATCATTCAGATTATGGAGGAACAAGGACTATTTCTACCCTTGGCGAGAAAGTCGCTGAAGAGGATCGCTTGTGGCTCGTCACGAGAAAGTTCTGTGATTTTAGCTCAATGGACTGAAAGTTTGCCTTTGGAAATTGTTGTAAGATTCCGATTCACATTTTTCTTTCATTTTATCATTTAATTATCATATGCAGTGGGGCCCCGAGATGCGGACAAGATTTGTTCTTGGACCTAATAGTCACTTACGTTAGACCGTCCGTGTGTCGGATCAAATTTTCCCATATGCTTGTATAGGAGCGAATTCAATTGGTTATCCTGTTCATCAAATATTGAGCATAAATCATACAAGAGTAAAATTTGAAATAAAGCCCACCACAAATTATTTTCTGTTAACCGCGAGGGACAGAAAATGTCTGTGCTGAAAAAATATTGTACAAACACAATTGGATCTTTTTGTGGGAAAAGAGCTCAAAAAGCGAAGAACAAGTACATGTCTTGCTATAATTCGCACAGATGATGAAAAAGCCATAAAAAGAGAAGCTTGCCTGTTTTGGTTTAAAAATTAGTGCGAATTTTTTATTAATTGTTTTTTAATTTGTTCAAGAAATGACAAAATTGGTTTTTTAAAATTCAATTTTTCTAGAAATTATTATAGTGCCCGTATCCTGAGACATTTTCTTTATATTGGGGCATATTTTTGGATTTTTCAAGTGTCCCTAATACGAAATGTCCGTATCTCGGGGTCCCAATGAACTTCTCCTGTTTGTTTTCTTATCGGCCCAAACCAGCTTAAAAACGTGGCTTGTACCGATAAAAAAAAAATGAATCGTAATGCTCCCAAAAATGCTTTTTCCGTGAATGCGAAGTATTCGAAATATCTGAAATTTGTGTTTTGATATTCATGCAGATCACTGAACCAAAACCTGCGATAAAAACATATTCAAGGAAAAGGAAATTCGTCGAAGAAAGACCAATTGTCGACATCCCTACCACAATTGTTCCGCAAAGTCCGCAATTTGTTGACGTATCCCGGATAAAAACCTACTCGCGGAAAAAGAGCTGTCCTGAAAACAGTCCAGTCGTCAACATTCCTTCCGAACCTCTCGCCGAAAATGTGTCACGAGAGTCGAGTCGAAGTATGTCAAATATTGAAGCCATGGTTTGGCTGGATAACGTTGTTGAAAGGCTGTTTTCGTCGGCCAGCATTCTCAGCAGTGTCCCGGTGAGAATATTGTGCATCTTCGTTTCATATTTGTGTTCGATAGGTTATTCTCTTCCATTTTCGTGTTTCAGGCGGAATTATGAGTTGGATCAAAATTGTGTTCGACGAAAAATCTCCTCAGGTGTGACCGATGTTTTTTTTTCCCCCGTGAATGTGACGGGTTTTTTAAATTTTATTAGATGCAAATTCATTGCTCCATTTGGAACTCGGGCGAATTTTTGCTCTGCTTTTTATTGCTTTACTTGTGATGAAGAAGAAGGGTTTGTTTCATGAGGCTAGCTGTATCTAATTCGTAGAAGGTTGGGAAATCGAGGTTGGTCACTCCTCTGCAGACTGTCACTCTTGGAAACCTCGTAATTTTTTTTTTTTTTTAAATTTTGTAGTACTTATTCGAAAGTTGAAGTACATGTTGTTTTCAAGTCAGTGATCAAATTTTTCAATTTACTGTACTGGAAACTCTCTGTGCAGGATTTTCATTCATTGGGGATAGGAATTTACGGAACAGTGACTGCCGAAGTAAGTTCATTATAAATTCAGCAATTATTTCTTAGAGGAAGGTTCTTCACAAGTCATAGGAATATCTGGAGAAATTTTAGCCTTCCTCCTTTCCTGATGTTTTGAAGTATTTCTTCGATTAACTTTGGCAACTCTCAGGTGATGAGGCCTTCTAACTGGAGGAAAGTGCGCAGACAAATCTGACAATTGTCAAGAAACACCTGATGAGAGTCCACTTGAATCACATTTTTGAATCGTTGTACGCAATAGCACTGCCAAGAGAAACTAAGATGTGGAGTCCAAAATATTCTTGCTTAGGCGAAGTATAAAAATGTGCGCTGTACCGTTCGACAAATTGTGGTATACATTCTACAGTATTTGGTACTGGATATGCTTCTCATAGGCGATGGCTTTTCTTTTACAGACAGGGGAACGCCCACCGATATTGCAGTGGTGCACACGTGTGTTTATTTAATTTCTGTTCCACTGCCGCTGTCGTGATTCAGGTTCTCAGAAATCGATGCGAAATGTGCGCGAGTTATCGTACGCCTTTGTGATTGTGCGAGTTTCGTGACGGAATGAGAATTGTGGATTGTCTCCAACGTCCTCTGTTTTGGTTTTCGGGATTTTTCTACTTCGTGACTGTCCGTAAACATTCACGCGTTTTAGTTGTATTTTACAGCATTGAAATTTCAGTCGCAATTATCTTCAAATTCTCATCTTCTCCGTCACAGAAACTACGAATGTGCGGCATGTCTTATTTTTCGTGCCCTTGATGTTACAGTTTTGAACAGCAAACGCAGTGCTCGAAGAGAATTATGTCCTGATTCCGGGGAGGATCATTGATCTGTCGGCCATGAGGAATGCTACGATAGATATAGCGTGCAAGAACTGCTTCACGGATTTCGATGCCGTAGCTTGCGTTCGCAGTGGAGCATTAGGGATCCTCGCGCTCATAACATGTGTCATGTGTGTTTTTCGCATCTGTCGTTTGCATTGGGTCCAGCATCAACACGTGCATCAATATCTCATTTTCTACTTCGCTGGTGCTGAGTGCCTTCTCTGGTGAGCATATTCAAGCTTTATTTTTTTCCGTTGCAGTTTTTAAGTATTCCATTATTCTTCAGCGCCGTCAATTGGTTCCTCGGAGGATTTTACCCGCAGTTCGACTTCGCCGCGAATTACCTCAAGTTTCTGGAATTTGTGGTGATATGTCATTTTCACTGGATTCTCGCGGCGAAGATACTTCAGAAAGAATCCATCGTGGACTACCTGATAAAACCCGTGGTTGGGATTTACATGCTCTACTTCACCACGGTTGTTGGAGTTGGGATGTATGACGTGGCGAACTCGTGGACTCAATGCATGAAACCATATTGGATCATGTTGTCCAGCGGGGACTGTTTGATCATCCAGTTGTTTTTCGCTGCGGGATACTTCATAACGGTAAAGATAAACGCAACCTCGTGTTCGGAAAATGTGAAGCGGACGCAAAAGCGAGATTTGTGGAGTTTGATCGCGGTCTTCGAGTTTTCCGCGCTCATCCCGTGTGTCTACGACATCACAGTAGTGGTTTTGGGTGACGAAGATATCGGTTGCAGTGGAATTTTCGGACACAAGCAGTTCGTGTACTCGCCCATCATATTCTTGTTCATGCTCATCAAGTTCTTGATACCAGTGTGGACGTTGTTGGCGGTGTTCAAGCCTACGCCAACTCTCGCGTTTGACGACACCGCGTTCTTTCTGGGATTCTCGGCCACGTCGAGTCTACAATCATACTATCCTCCGATCAATTACGATGTGCCATTTCCTGTGACGACGTCGCCGCCGGCCGCGATGCGTTCATCGAGTATCATGGGAAATGACCACACTGCGACTTCTTATGCCCGTTCCGCGTCGTCTGCGTGTTTCTTAGTTGCTGAGACGGCTGCGATGCGGAAAGAGCTGCAAAATCATTCCGACGAAGATCTGAAATCCCTCGGCGATCCTGACGATCGCTATCAGGAATTGAGTGGAGTATTTTGAGGTATTCCTCTGTGAGGTTAAGTGACCGAAGTGCTATGTACGATGTAGTTTTTCGAAAGACGAAATTTTTTTTAAATGAAGCATACACCGTTGAGCTGGGCTATGAAGTTGTTTTGCTAGAAGTTTAGTTGTTTTTGTTTCGAATCGAGGTGCTTTCGAAGAAGCACCTCGGTGGTGAGTGAATGATTGATCCGTCTGTGTTCTTTTGACGGAAGTGTGAGGATTTTGTAATTATGTTCGTAGAACTGTTGAACGTCGATAATCGAACCTCCACAAGTCGAACGACGCCCTATGTCGAACTTTTACAGCTCCTTCTCGGGGTCTTGAAACAATGCATTAGGAATCTCCCAACTTGAAGGCTTTCCCCCTGAAACCTCCATGACTCAAGTGTTCCGGAGGCATTTTGACTTTCATTTTAATGACGCAGTAAAGGTGAAAGCGATAAAAATGTTGCTTTTTGAAAGGAAGTGAGAAACGAATTGGGTAAAGAAATCGTTCCTACAAGTTCAACAACCTATCAAAGCATACGAAAAGCAATTTAAGGCCCAGAATCTCACCAATTGCAATTTTCTGTAATTCTTCTTTCATCCCATCAATAAAAATTCTCGTTTCCCGACCTCGAAACCTTAACTTAAATTTGTTGGTCCCCTTGATGTTCATCTCAGAAAGGTTTTACCTTGTATGTATAAGAAAAAGCTAGATTTCTTTTGGCATCAGAACCAAGAAAAGTAATTATTTTTTGAGGCTTCATGTTGCTTTATTTTGTTTATAGTTGAACGTGATCCTTTTCCGAGGAACCCATTTCCGAATAACCACGAACTTCGAGACGTTCTCCTCTGTTGTGTACTTCATCCTCCCTTACTACTTATAAAACATGATGCTAAGGGTGTGAGGAATCTCGATCCTTCCCTTTCTCGCCGAAATTGCATCACATTGTTTTCGCGCAGATTCCACTTTTCCACGTACGTTCATGATTTGCTCTAGGATTAGTATTTCTCTGGTTTATTGTTGAATGAATTGCCCTGCATTTAAAAATTCGTTATATGTGTATGTGTAGGTGTGTGTGACGCAGAACACACGATTGCGATTTTTAAAATGAGAAAATAACATTGCAGACGAATGAGAGGTAGGCAACGTTGTGGGCATTCTATTACTTTATGGTAGTGTTCGGCTTATTTCCTGGGTTGTTTCTGTATGTTCAGTGAATGTGTTACCTGAGCTTTTTTTCTTTTCGCACTGGCAACTGAGTCGAAAATTTTCAATTCTTTTGCCCAATAAATCCAAAGATTATTCTACTGTAATGCCAAAAATCGTGGTAAATTCATAACCTCCGCGGTGTGTATGACTTCAGATGAATTCGAGTGAGAGGCGCTCCAAAGATGGTTGTGGTAAAGTTTTAATCTCACATAATTTCGAATGCTTTACCTCTGCTACCTGGAAAGAAATTCTAAGTTGAATATCGTGATCGGTTCCACCTAATGAATGAATTATTGGGAATTTTGCGGGATTGAACAGAGGGAGTAAGTGTGATCAGATTTCTTTTTGAAGAGTATATCGCGGGCGTCGTCTTACAGAGAAAGAGAAAAACTGAGTGCCATCTAAATGTTTTGTAGCATTCGTGGAGTCGAATTAACGTTTTTCATGAACTCCTTTCAGAACTGAATGGAATATCTTTGAATGTTGTACTTGCATGTTTCAGAACAATACGTAGCCAGCATTATTTTTTTGAATGACGGATTTCTATTGTTTTTACTGAATTGATCATTGATGTCTGCGATGAACAGCCTAATTCTCGTGATGAAGGTGGTCTTTACGAACTTTGATCTTGAATTGAACGGTTTTTTTGTTGCCAAAAACGAGTTCATGCGGCTTTGGAAGATTGGGCTGTTCAGTCAAGCAAATTTCGCTTCGATTTTCTGGAGTATTCTGGTGAGATTGACGAGAATGGAAATTTAGTGTTGGTCTTTAGTGACGACTTTACGGAATTGGAATGGCTTGTTTTCTTTTTATTTCCGTGGTGTCTTTTTTTCAACGAAATGAATTGCAGTCAAATATGCATTCCTACGAATAGATTATGCGAGTAATTTATTTTTGGAGAGGCTATGGCATTTCATGTACTAGTAGTTACTGCGCAGTGGGAACGGCAAGTGTCATACAAATCGTATTGTAATTTTTTTGATGCCACTGGGAACCTTGTGAATTGTAGTGTGCTACTGTGGCAAATTTTTTTTTGCTAATGCTGGAGAAACTCGGTGTCTGATGAAATTTGGTTGACTTGTTCTAACATTCAATGCGATTGTGACCGCCACTAATATCCGAGGGTCGTCCTACGTGGCTGTGGAAATTCTGACAGCATTGAAAATTTACAAAAATGTTCGTCATGATGTTTCAAGGATTTTCTTATTTCAGAATTTCAAGGTACTGTACTGCATAATGATGAGTGAAAACTTTCTGGTTCCTGCTGGAGTTTCCCACTCATTCTAGATTTTACAGCATGCTGAAAATTTTCCTGTAGAATTTGAAAATAGGACTGTGTTGTTTAGAGTTTAGACTATTAGAATATCATGTTTCTCGTATCCTGGAAAAAAGTAAAAATTGTAAATTCATCAGTTTTCTTGTTATGGTTATAAAATACAGTACTATACTTTGTGGGGGTGGCAATGACAAGGTTTTAATTTATTTTTTTCCTAATTTCTCTCCCAATTGGTTGCCAAGGATAATTTCTGTTTTTTGCCCTTACGATTAGTTTCTTCAATGGTTTGCAGTTTGATTTGAATTCTGTGGTTTTTTGACTGAATGAAAAGTTACTTCACTGGATGCGCCTCTGATGCGTGTCTTACTTCGAGCTACGTAGACTTCGTGAAGAACATTAAAAAAATCTTTTAGCAGTCAGAATTTCCATGTACGCGCGGAAGTGGGACAACCGTAGTATGCTTACATCAGAAGAATGGCTGGTGGCGATGGACAGAAGAGACAAATTTGTCAGATGGCTATTTTATGTCGTATCTCGCTGCGAAGTAACTTTTTGTACGTTGTGTTCATTTACGAGCTTTTGATTGGAGAATATTCAGGCGTATTTCGTTTAATCTGCTCTGTTGTTCTTTCGAACGGAAGGTGTGAAGTGTGCGAGGGAAAGAATACGGTAATCATGTTCACTCGGATGTCACGCGTTTACGCGCCTCAGATGATGACCCATTCAACGGCGCGAATAGACGTTGAGCATTCCCATCAGGTAGTGCAAAAACGCGGGGGACACCGTGAACCCCTCTTTTTTTTGTTTTCGTTTCGGCTCATGACCCGTCTCGTGATTATTTGACCCAAGCTGTTGGAGACGTTTGGGTTCGTGAAGCACTGCGCGGGTGCTGGGTTTTACCACTTGCTCCCGCTCGGGTACCGGGTGATGAAAAAGCTGTGTAATCTCGTGGATGAAGTCATGACGCGACGAGTGCATGCGGAGAGGATGGAAATGCCGTCGCTGTCTCCAGAGGAACTGTGGAGAAAAACAGGTAATGTTTCATTTTTATCCGTGTATTATTCGTTAACATTGAATCTATTCGTTCATTTTCCCGGTAACGCTGGATCAAGCTTTCTGAGTGTCACGTAGGTGTCGCCGGAATCACCAACTTCTTGGGAATTCTTATCCAATGTAGACCGATTTTTTACAGTCGGTACTCTTGGCTATGATAACTTATAGCCAAACCTCGATAACTGAAAATTTCATTTTTCTACGGGGTTGGTGCTTTTTTGTGAATCGAGGGACGGGTTAGAAGGATGATTTGTTTGTTCCGTGGTGGAAAGACTTTTTTTTACTAAATGTGTTCCTTATAAATTATTGCATTTGTTTCGAATTACAGCAAATCATTTTTGTTAACCTCGACTAAATTTAAATTCCTAAGGAATGAATTGAGGAAAAATATTTACGTCTATATGGATTCAGAGCTTTATGTCGTAAATTGGTTTTTAATGGCGTTGTTCCCGCAATCCGCGTGTGTTTATGCTAATCGTGTGTGATTTCCATCAACAGGGCGTCTGGAACTATGCAAGTCGGAGCTGTTCATTTTGAAGGATCGTCACGACAAACGTCTGGTGCTGAATCCCGTAAGTTTCGTTGAAAATCTGTTTTACCCTGTTTTTTTGGAAGCGTGGGCAATTTACAGAAATAGACCGAGTGCAAATTGTCAAATCGAAGCCTGAATTCAACATCTGCAAGTTACGGGCTATTATTTATGTTGTTGTTGAGAGGCAAAAATCAATTTGAATAAAATAACGATCAGAAGTTTCTGAATTGGAATTAATTCTGCTGATCAGTATTTTTAGTTTTCTGATTTGAAACTTTCTTCTAATTTTCTCAGTGTTATCTGTAGAACATGCTATAATCTTGAATAAAACCTTGAATGTGTTCGAAAACGGGAAAAATTCCTTTTTTTTTGGGACATTAATTAAGATCACTCTACTGATATCCACGCATTCTCTATGCAGTAATTGAAAGAAGACGATTTTTCGAAAATTGTCATTCATTTTCGGGGTATGTATAGGTTGATCATCATATTTTATTGCTGAGACCATCTCCTTATTTTTTATATTTTTAATGTCCTTAGTTGTTTTTGTTTCGTTAATTAGACCCACGAGGAGGCTGTGACGTGGATGATGAAGAGTGGAGAACGTTTTTCGCATCGGCAACTGCCGTTTAGAATCTATCAAATTTCGAGCAAATTCCGAGATGAGATGAAGCCCAGATACGGATTGATGCGATCTCGGGAATTTTTGATGAAGGATTTGTACACTTTCGATGTCGATGAACAGTCCGGACGGGATACTTATTTCGTGGTGAAAAGCGCCTATCGGGAAATCTTCGATAAACTCGGAGTTATGTATGTCGAAGGTGAGCTCGTTGGATTTATTTTGCGCTGAAGGAAGCAATGTGCAACGCTGAATTGATGGAGACTAACGTGCAAAATGATAATTTTTGGGGGAGAAGAATAATTCAATTGTTTAATTTCTCAGTAGTGATGAACGATCTGAACATTTTGTTTTGCCTTTGATGAGTTTGAAGCATGATTTGTACAAAATAGCGTGCAATTATTGTATCGTGTCACTCTCGAAGGAATTCCGATCGATAAGTAAAAGCTCTTCGTTCTTTGTAATCGGAAAAATTTCGCAGTCTCAAAATACCTCGAAAGAAAATTACCATAATTTTAGAAAATTGAATGGATGGCGCACGTTTATGGATATTCAGCTGACTAAAATTGCGACGTGTATTATATTTGATGACTTCTTTCATTTGAAGGCGTCATAATTACATAGATTCGCAAGAGAATTGCTATGATATGTTTTAGAGTTGGAATCCCAATTCCTTGTACTTCAGTTCGTAACTATGGCTCCTTATCCTGGAGAATTCCTACGCAATGAAAAGGCGTTTCTTGTTTATTGAATACATTTTTAAATTAACCATGCAAAATTTATTTTCATTTCTTTTTGAAAAAAGCGGTGGGAGATTCCGGTGAAATTGGCGGTTCCATGTCTCACGAATTCCACATCGTGGCGGATGTTGGTGAGGATTCGTTGAAAGTGTGCAAGTTTTGTTCCTCGGGCATCAATCTTGCCACAGCCGGGAAAGGCCTTGACGATGACTTTTGTCAATTGAATCGCGTCAAATGTGATAAACACGACTGGCTGGAGAAGCGCGGAATCGAGGTGAGTTCCCGCCCCGTCGAAATACTGTATATCAATTCGGAAGGGACTCAGGATAAAATCTCCTTTTCTTTTGCTTCATTTATGATTGTTATACGTGTGATTTTTCTCGAAAAAATATATTTTTCATTTTTTGCCCCAAAGGTAGGTCATGCGTTCCTGCTTGGAACAAGATACAGTGAACCGCTTGGCGCCAAATTCAAGAAGGCCGATAATACCGAAGAGAACTTGTTCATGGGATGTTATGGATTGGGTCTGAGTCGCATAATGTCCGCAGTGTTGGAAGGAAATCACAAAAACAGACCTTCGCAAAAAGAAGCCATTCTGCGATGGCCTCAACTGATTGCGCCTTTCAGCTTAGTTCTCATTCCACCCAAGGTGAGATATTTTCACGGATAAAGTCGGGTTGCTTCCGGTAGCATTGATTGAGCGTAATGCATGCCTATTTTCCATCGATGCTAGCATTTTTGATTTTGAGTGTGGTATCTAAAATTCGTCAAGCAAATCATAGATGAAGTGATTCTTACCGAATTTTCCTCATAGAAAAAATATGTAGTGTAAAAAAAATCTTCTTTAAATTACAGAATATTCAGCCGACAGGTGGACTTCATAAATAATGAATAAATTCAGAGGACCAGGGAAAAATTCGTTGAAGAGAACCTTTATGGAACCATGAAAAAATTATTATGCGGAAAACCTCTTCATAGCAAAACTTTTTGTTAACGTGTCCCAAATCCACTAGTGTTGAACTTCTAATGAATGAAGGAGGAGAAAAGGCTGTAGTTATGCACCAGCGACATCTACGAGAGGAACACGAACTCAATTTGTTTGTACCAATCACTAGCCTGGTACAGTACAAAACTAACTTAATCTAATGTCTTAATTTACCTGATGGTCCTAGCGATAGAAAAAAAATTTCTGTTCTCTCAATATTTTCGGCATGAATGAAATTTTTGGCATAATCATCAGAATTATCAGGATCTACGAAAAATGCTTACTTGCGGTTACGCTTGTGATTGTCGCCTCTACAATAATTATTTTCTTCTAAATTGAATAACGCTTGGGGAATTAATACTTGGATAAAAGTTTTTCATCAATTTTTTAACCGAGCCTTTTGATGGAAGTTATGTTTTCTTTTTTCCGTAGGCCGGTAGTGCCGAGTGCAAAATGGGAACGGAAAAGCTGCTCGAGTTCGTGGGATTGTCAGTGTGCAAGAAGGGAATGATGGAGGAAGATATTTTGATAGACGACAGAACGAATCTAACGATAGGCAAACGGCTTTTAACTGCCAAACGTTGGGGAATCCCGTATGCCATCATCGCTGGGAAAGCAGCTGCGGAATCCGTTCCCAAGCTGGAATTTGTTGACGTTGTTCTTGGAACGAGTCAATTGGTCTCTGCAGTTGAATTGAAGGAACGTTTGTTGAACACTTTCCGTTTGTCTGGTCAGCGTTGTGCGATGTGATGGATTGAGTTTTGCGTAGTTTATTATTACAATGGCCATCTTGTGAATTTTTTTGGAAGGAGTTGTTGAGATTGAGTCGACACTTCAAGTGGAAAAGTTCTCCTTTTTTCTGAGAATAATTTGACGAAGTGAAGAATCTTGTTCTTGGAGAAAAAAGTAATCAAAATTTTCAAATACCGAGGGATTTTCGATGGAAAAAAACTTGAAAAGTCTCAACTTCAAAAGTGAGCGTTGTGCCAATTTTTTCTAGGATTCCAGTGAGGAATTCTATGCTTCAGAAATCCTTCGTACTTGAAGAAATGTCCGTTTCATTGAGTTGGAGACATTACTTTCCACTCGACGTGAAGACTTCCGATTTTTTCCCTTGTTTCGTCGGTTGCATGACCTTGTAATTTTTCCGTTTCAGGTGAAACTATGTGAGGTGAGCGGCGGGTATTTTTTACATGACTAGATAATTTTATTTTCTACGTTGTCGTGATTCTGCCTTTTTGCTGTGTTACGATGTGTTGCACAGTCGTGCGTTGAAATTCAATCAGAAAACCGCAGTGTCAGATGGAACTCCGTGCCTCCTATTTTGGTCATTCGTTGGGAAATTTTGGTTTCGTGTATCTTCAAGACTGTTGTCTACATTTTTTGAAGTGCGAATAATTTTCAAAGTTTCTGTGGGGCGCCAACTTATGGACGATTCGGCTGGAGGACACCTGAGACCCTTAAATTATGCCCCAGCTGATGTGTTAAGATGTGGACACTTCGCCAACATTTCGGGAAAATCTGAAAACCAAATTTTATTGCTCTTTAACAAATTTGATAATTTTTTTAAAAGAAAAATGAAGAAAAAATTTTATTATAAATTAAGCCTAATTTATAACCCAAAACTGGCAAATTTTGTGCTTCTTTTTTCGGAGTTTTTCCCCATCATCTGTGCCCAGTACAAGTATTGTATAGCAAAACTTGTGCTCATTCTTCGCCTTTTGTGCAACCTTTGCATGTCCAGCGGTCAGATTTTTTCCAGTTATTTTCTGCATCTTTACGTTGAGAAATTTTTTTTCTATATTTTGGGACTTTAATTTTTTGCTGAACAGAGGAACCAATTAAAAATAATCCTACTGAAGTCTATCATGCGACGTAATTTAGGATCGTGCGTACGTGATATTCAATAGTGCGTAAATGGGTGAAACATTCTCATTTATCAGAAAAATTTCAATTATTCGCTCCTCTTCGTTGAGCTGTGAAATATATTTGTCCATCGTTAGTTTTAAAATCGCAAATATTCCTAGATTTTTTTTAGATTCGTGATTGCCATGGCGAAAACCGTGTTTGTCACTGGCGGTGCCGGCTTCATTGCTAGTCATTGTGTAGTCGAGTTGCTGGAAGCAGGATACAATGTTATAGCCATTGACAACTTCGCGAACAGTGTTGGGTCAGGGGAAAAGGCAGCTGCTTTGGAACGGATCGAAGAACTCACCGGCAAAAAGATTACTTTCCATCACGTTGACCTACTTGATCGAAATGCCTTGAACGAGTTGTTTGACAAGGTTGGTGTTCGTGTTTTTTTTCCAATAGTGTATGTTGCTTTGTGTGAAATTCGTGATGGAGAATAATGGGATTGTCTCGTATTTCAGCATGAAATCGACATCGTGATACACTTCGCAGCCATGAAGGCCATCAGTGAATCAATGAAAGAACCTCTGATGTACTACGAAAATAATATCATGGGCACAATCAATCTTCTTACGGTAAGTTAATGAGTGCCGCTCTCCTGATCTTCAGGTCAGATATGAAATGTAGAATACTGTACTAGATGTATACTTTGTGCTCCCCAGTTGAGGTCAGAGTTTCCACATTACAATGCAGTAAATTCTTGTAAAGATTGGTTATGCAGTAGTGAGACTCATTGTTCTTGGAGCATTTGGGACTGAAATTTTGTGGAAAGTCGCTAAAAATTGCTTTCCAGTGTTCCCAAAACAGATACCATATTTACTCAAGTACCACGCTCACCTTTTTTCTCAAATTTCAAAAGAAAAAATGGTGTGTGGGTCATAAGCTGGTACAAATTTTTCAAGAAGTTTCAGGAAGTTATGTGTGCATTATACTTGATTATAATGGAGAAATTTGGAACAAATGTACCAAGAAAATTTGTTTATACTGAAAAAGTTGAAAATTGATCATATTCTTATTCAATTCATGTCTGAAGTCAATTTTTTTTTTCGAAATTTTGTGGATTTAGATTCATTAAAAATTGGGGTGTGCGTCTTACTCAAGGATAAGGTTTTAGCAAAATTCCCAACTGGAAAACCCCTTACTTGAGGGCATGTGGTACTCAAGTAAATACGGTATTTGAGAAATTTTAATGCAGTAATTTCCAATGACTCGTATTGATGATGAAATGCAGTATTAAAAATGTAAAGTACTGTACAATGTATTTTATTGTAGACCTTATCTTCCTTCAAATTTCCTAAAAGCGTACTGATCTTACTGGAATAAAAACTGAAACAAACAAAAACAAATGTTTGAGAAAAGTATTTACTTTAATCAATAACTGCTGTATGTTTCCTGGAATACAACAATATGCTTTCAAACATACTTTTTATTTAATTTGCAATTTCTAAATTGTGAAAGGAAGCAAGAAAATTCTGGTGACAGCGTCATGTTTCATACCACCTGTAATTACACCAAATTTTCTTTACAAAAGCCAAAGAACAGTGATAATATTGTTATCATGAAAATTTCGTTATTAGATCTGTTGTATAAAAAATTGAACTGTTGAAGCCTGAAGATGGGGAACCATCTGTGTAGGACAGTGCTACCCAACATTGGCCTGTGGGCCAAATCTGGGCCACAGAGGCTCTTCCTTCATCCTGCACTTCATTCTCTGTAATTTTCAAGGTGTCAGTCACCACCATTCAGAATAAAATGAAAATGTTGCTCCACTCTTCAAAAATTTTACAGGGCTTTGCTTGTGATTCAATTCGTAGCACTGAATTCAATTTTGAACTGTTCATTTAAAAGGGGAAAATTTACCCTCATCTGAGTTGAGCAGCCCTGATGTAGGACGGTTGGAGTTACTATCCTGGAGCTGATTAAGTAGTTTGAAGAGTCGTGCGGGGTGAAAATCCCGTACGTTTTGCTAGATGGTTTTTAAAGGAGATGATCCTATTTTTCAAGAATGTTAAAGCGGACTTGACTTGTACAGAAATCTTGGATTTGTTTGAGTTATCATCGGATGATGTACCTTCTAGGTTATGAAGCAGCACAACGTTCGCAACTTCGTGTTCTCTGGATCCTGCACAGTCTACGGCGCACCTCAGTTCCTCCCATTGACGGAAGAACATCCCACGGGGAACCCGACGAATGTTTACGGTCGGACCAAGTTCTTCTGCGAAGAGCTCCTGCGAGACGTGGCAAGAGCAGAACCCGAGTGGAATATCATCAGTTTGAGATACTTTAACCCAGTCGGAGCCCATCCGTCGGGTCGCATTGGCGAGGACCCGGTTCGAGCCATTGCGAATATCATGCCGTTTTTGGGTCAAGTCGCTGCTGGGACCCTGCCAGTGTTTACGGTTTTTGGGAATGATTACGACACCCGAGATGGAACCTGCGTGAGGGATTATATCCACATCATGGACCTTGCTTCGGGTCACGTTGCAGCTGTGAAGAAGCTGGAAAAGGACCACGTGCACTTTAGGGTGGGTTCTCCTCGGGATCTTGAATTGATTTTTTTCTCTCCCATTTTGTAGCTCATATGGTGTCATTCGTGGGAAACGTTTGCTTCTTTCCTTGAACGGGGTTCAGCGGGCCTGCTGTAAAAATAGCTGCGATATTTCTGGAGCAAATGTCGCTCGAGAATTTTTTTCGATCGTTGAGGGGAATTCTAGAGTTGAATAGTGTGTCCGGAAATTTACTCCTCTGTGAGAAATTTGTAAATCCTGAACTTTTTGAGCTGATGAGGTATTCAAAATTTCTTTCAACATTACAAAGCCACTTTTTGGACATTAATACAGGTGGACTCTCTCTGTCTCTGCAACGAATTTGAATGGCCATAAAAAAAAAAACAGAACCACTGTAATAAGGGGAGAGAACGTAATGGGACCCGAAAATTTGTTATACCTTACAGGGAAAATCGGTGTAGAGAGAGTATTTTGAAAAAGCAGGAAAATTGGCCAGAGCCGAAAAAATTGAAATTTTGCGTAGACAAGCCGATTTCGTTATTTTTCCGAACGTTTGGTTGTCGATTTTGAGTCATTTGATTTCCTTGTGTCCGTCTTAATGTCCATAAATTCGCCATCAGTCTTCCCGCACCCACTTCGGGCTGTTTAAAGAATCACTTTGGAAAATTTTGAAAGAAACCTGATTTTCCCCAACCCGAAAAATTAAAGTCACCTGATGATGTTCGTGTTGAAAAGATTATCTTTTTGTTTGCATCCCAGATTGATTTCTCCAATGCCTATCTACTTTCTGACGTTTATATCTTGAAAAATAAGAAAAAACAGGGAAGTTGACCCGAGTCCCAAAAAATTGGACAAAATTGAATTATGGTTCAGCAGGGACTTTTTTAGAACGTTTGGTTATCGATTTTGAGCAATTTCATTCCGTAGTGTTAATCTTGATGTCCATAATTTCGCCTTCTCTCTTTCCGTCCTCGCTTCGGCTTGTTCGTTTTTTTTTTTTTCTTTCTAAAAAACCTACTGACACAGGCTTTCAATTTGGGCATCGGGAAAGGAGTCACGGTTCTGGAGCTGATCAAAGCGTTTGAAAAGGCGTCGGGAGCCGTGATCCCGGTGGAATTTGTGGCAAAACGGGATTTCGGCGTGGATCCGCCAGCCTTGTTGTGCTCTGCGGAAAGAGCTAAAGCCGAACTAGACTGGAACCCAAAATTCACTGATCTTGAAACCATGTGTGAGTTTGAATACTGATGTGTTTTTTCTTTCTTTTTTTTTTTTCTCTTTCTCCGTTTCCTCGTCTTATATCCGCTTCGGGGTGTGGACGCTTGGCGATTTAGTTTATTAACCTGGGAAGTGGCGTTGGAGTTACTATCCTGGAGCTGATTAAGCAGTTTGAAGAGTCGTGCGGGGTGAAAATCCCGTACGTTTTGAAAGAGCGGCGGGAAGGAGACGTCGGATGTGCCTATGGTAACATTGATCGGGCGCGGGATGAGCTTCAGTGGAAGCCTCAAAAATCTTTAGACGATATGTGTAAGTTGTTCTCTGGTGCTTTCTACTCGAACGCTTTTCTGCAATCCCGGTTTTTTTTTTTCGAATTTTTGGAAAGTATGGAAGAAACGAACCGTAAGCCGATGCCGTTTTACTATTTTCGAGTTGATGAATGAATAAATGAAAAATACGGGTGACTTGAGAATGAGAACAAAGATTGAAGAAAACTTTAAATTATGAAAATAAATTTAATTGAACTACCCTAAAACGGAGTGTCAAGAATGCTTGAAGAAAGATAAGTGTGGTAGTTGTTTTTACTGTGTATCACGCCAGAGGAATATTCATGAATGCTTTATATAATAATTCATCAATATTCAATGCATTTTTTTCCGTGAAGTGGATCTATGCGTTTTTTTATTTGTTAAAAATGTTTCTCATCGTGATGCATTTTACCGTTTTTTTTTAGTAATTACTTGAATACCACTCTCACTTGATTAAGGCGCACAACTGGATTTTTCAGCCAAAAAATTTGCTTAAAAAATGTGTCCCCAGAAAAGGTACACCCCAGTTTTAGAGATAGAAAATTGAAATATTTTCGAAAAATATTTGAATTTTGGCTTCACTTTTCAAATTTAATGTTGCAGCATTTCCATTTTAAAAATTGTGTATTGAAATTCGTTGAATATTCTCTGTAGCATGATTTACTCCAGCGTTTTTAATAATTGTAAATGTGTTATCCTTTCCTGTGACGCTCAACTTTTTGTTCTCTCTTAATTGAAAAAAACCCGTGGTACTTGAGTAAATACGGTAATTGTTAACATTTCTGTAACGTTTGCAGCTCATACAAGTACAGTTAATATATTCGAAAATTAATCTTCAAGAAGGGATTTTTTACGGATTTAGTTCTCAAATTTTTAATCCCTGGCTTTGAGATTCGAGAAAAATTCTTCCTTAAATCAGAAGTAATCGTGCATTTAATCAAACATTTACAGTATACAAATTTTAAATCCCTAAATTTTGTTCTCTTCCGAAATGTAGGCATTTGACGTTCATTAACCGGGATTGTAGCACATATTGTTCGCATGAATCACAAGCTTAGGTGTTGCATTTCACCCGCATGCCGCAAAAACTGTAATTTTTTTGCTTTCTCGTGAATTAATTCGAAATTTTCCGAACAGTAATTTGGTCGATGAGAAAAGGTTTTAATACTTGATTGAATTCGGCTTTGACACTGATGTTCAAACTGACCAAGTACCGGGTGGCTAACATGTTTAAAAATCTGGTATACAAATGTTTATCAATTAACTTTTGAATCCGGTGATGGAAACCTGTGTTGCTCCTCATCTCGACCGTTTTGCTATCGACTAAAATTTGGAAATGAATTGATTCGCAAAACCTGAAGAAGTATTTTCTGCCGAGAATTTTTATGCATTGCTCGTTGTGGAAATTACAGTACAGTATATGAATGGTTGGTTTAGAAAAGAATGTGCGTCTAATACGCTATTGAATATTGAGATCGGTAATACTGTGCAAGGTTTTGCATTCCTCATAATTTAAGTAAGCTTTAAAACTAGGTGTTGTACGTTTCCTTTTTGCCTGCGTAAAAAAAAAAATCAGCATTTTGTATTGGAGAAACTGCAATTTTTATTTTGAAACATCACTGTTCTGCAACATTCTATGTTTTTCACGACACGATAAACGCATAGACATCGTGTATAATTCGAGAAACATATTTTAACTGAGATGAGAAATGATTCGAGATATTTTCATTTTGTAGTACAATACTTCGCCAATCTGAAGCTCCAACCTTTGCATAAAAGAAAAAAACATTTATGCGTATGTGTCTTGAAATCACGATTTAAAATTGTGTTGACCTTATTTGCGCAAATTTAAGGCCTTCTCAGTTTCGTTGGCTAACAGAAAATTTTTGAAGGTCAATCGTGAAATCCGTTGTCACGTGATCCAAAATTTGCCTGAAGGTTATTTTTGGCTCATTTACGCTTCCTCGCTTGAAACTTACAAAATTTATTCGTAGAAAAAGATGCCAATTGGATTTATGATTTACACTTCAAATTATCGGCGGTCTTCTCGATTCAGCTCGATGATCATATTTTCAGCATGAGTGACGAGTTTGTGATAAATATTTTTAAACCTCACGGAAAAATGTTGGCGTGTGAATTGTGCTTAGATTATAATATCACATAATCTCGTTATCGCATAAATGCAAATCTTTCGAGTGGATTACGTAAACATTAAATTTCAATTTTTCAGGCAAGGATTTCTGGAGGTGGAAGGCCATGAATCCCAACGGCTACAAAAGTTCTCCCGCAAGCGAGTAGCCCTGAAGAGAAAAACACATTCCGGATACCTGGTGAAAAAAAAAAGTGCCAGTTGTTCCCGAACACATTCTGCCTTTTTTGCTGTTTTGTTTGGATCCTTTGGTTTATTGAAAAAGACAATCAATGAAGAACTGCATCGTAATGCACGAGGGATTGTTCAGCACGTTTGATGATTATTTAGTGAACGATGGATCGTAGAAGTGAGTGCAGGGTTAACCGAAAACTCGCTCGTGTTCCGTAATCGATTTTATTTTGAGCATTATTGATTCTCAAGCTTTGGCTTTCATCCTTTTTTGAGTTAACAGAAACGAGAAGGCTTAAACAAAAACTGTTCCTGGTGTTGAATCTTTTGTGTGTTGGGAGAAAAAAAATATATATTCTCGAATGAATCTCCGTGTGTTGTTCTGCTCTTTTGTTTTTGTTTTTTGTGTGTGTGTCAAGCGCTTTTCCTTTTTCACGTTTTGCCTCCTATGAATCCAGGGGTTGTTTGAAACTTCGTTTATTTTTGAAATGGGACCTGATTACGGGACCGAGAAGTATCTTCGCCTCAGGGCAGAAGTGAAGTCCCTGAAGAAGTACTTCAAGAACCTGCCTCGTCCCAAAGAAGCGATAGAAGGTGGCCGAACCGTGGATTGGAGTGCAGACGGAAGATATTTGGCAGCTTCGTCGTACATGTCTGAGAAAACCGTTTGCTTGTTTGCGCTCGTTGATGATCGGAAATTGGTGAGCGAAATTTTTTTTCGTTTTGCAAATTTGAGCGTGATGATTTTTATGTTATTTTTATTCAGGTGAAAGAACACACTTTTCGTGGTCACCATGAGTCCGTTGACGTGGTATGTTGGCATAAAACGAACGGGGATTTGCTGTCGACGGCGAGTGGAGATAAGAGTGTTAGGATCTGGGATGCTCGTGCTCAGAAATGCCAAGCCTGTATTCAGACAAAAGGTGAACATTTCAGTCTATTAATTTTCTTGAATTTTGAATGAATTAAACACCATCCGTACGTCTTTTAAATTATGAAGTGTCAAACTAGATTATTTGTTCTGAATGCCACGGAGTTCTTGAATTATTTGCGAGTGAAACGAGACGGTGTGCGATGAAATTTTCTGTTCATTCGTTTGGTTTTTTAAATCATAATCCTTCTGATCATGACAAATCTTTCGAAGAAGTATTTAAAATTTGAACACATTAAATACCACTTGTCCTTCTTTCAAATGAGGAAATTACAAACCAATTGAATTGATAAAAATGTCGAGGAGTTCTTGAAAATTTGGTGTTTGATGACATTTTCTCGGGGTTTTTCTTTCGCTTCATGATTATTCTGGACGTAACGGAGAACGTCTTTCGAAAGAGGATTTTAAATTTTCTAGGCATTAAATACCACACATTCGCCTTTTACATAGAGAAGTATCAAACTAAATGAATTGTTTTAATCTTTTAAATATCGAGGAGTTCTTGAAAATGTTCTCGAGTGGGTTAAGGATAGTGTGCCATGACATTTTCTCCGGTTCTCCCTTTTTTTTATCCCTCTAATCATAATTTGAGAGAAGAATTGAAAATTGTTATCTGGTCACAGCTCAAATCGATCAAATGACGGTTTTTATTCGCGCTTCGAAATTCAATTTTCAGGTGAGAACATTAACCTAGCGTGGTCTCCGGATGGCAACACAATCGCAGTAGGTAACAAGAGCGATCTCGTTTCGTTCATCGACGTGAGAAAATTCGAAGTCACCAAGGAGTTGCAATTCAGCGGGGAAACCAACGAGATTGCCTGGAATAACGAAAACACGAGGTTTTTTGCCACCTTGGGTTCTGGCCAGTTCGACGTGCTGAGGTGTGTTCATGAGAAATTTGTATATTTTAAAAATCGAACTTCTCCGAGTCAAACCCACAAACATTTGATTTATTGAATTTTTCGAGTTCAGAAAAGAAACCTGCATTTTTGCTGGGGTGAAATTTGAAGAATTGCAAGAAAAGAAATTTTTGATCTTCTGGACCTCGAACTGCTGCGTAAATTATTTGACAGGATGTTGATCGAGAAGGCGAGGGTACAGTACCTTTGCCCGATTAGTCGCCCACTTCATTTTGAAAAACGTCCATGTTGAATTTTTATTGCTTTTTCTATTTCTTGGGTTACCAGAATAATAGCCCAAAGGCATCCAAAAATTCAATTTAGAGAAGGGGAGGTCTATCAAACATTTTTCTTGGCGGAATACAGACGGGAACATTACAAAGATTTGACACGTGGAAGTTTTAAACTTGAAAAGGTTCGAATTATGGAAGTCCAAGTGTATTTAAATGGTGGAAATTTCTGATACGATAATTGAGATTCGTGTTCCCAGCATGAGTCATTATTTGCTTCTTGAAACCCGTTTGAAAATTCTGAATTGATTTTCCTTGACCTGGAAATTTGGCTCAAGCATGCTGACCTGCTGATATTCGAGCATTTTTAATATTTTATGAGGGGGTGGAGAACGTTTTAGTACTGTGAAATCATCACGGTTTTTTTTTTTTTATTTGCAATTCTTTAGCTTCCCGGACTTGGAATTGTTGAAGAAGGTTCAAGCTCATACTACCAATTGTATCGCCTTGAAAGTTTCGCCGAATGGAGAACGGATTTCTATCGGAGCTGCTGATGCTTTAGTGTCTATTTGGGATACGAAGGAATTGATTTGTCTACGAACCCTCGCAAGGTATGAGTGTGATTCCTTTTTTAAGCTCATATTCTTCATTTCATATCTTGTATGCGGTAATTCTGGCTGTTGAACATCAGCAAAAAGAGCTGCATCTCGGAAGTTCGTGTGTTATAAACCTCTGGCTTAATTCAAGTCTCTTTCCGGAAATTTCGCGTCATTTACTGAAAGAAAGAATTTTGCTTGTCCTTCTTTGTAGGCGAACCCCAGAGATTCAGTTTTGTGAACTTTTTCATAAAAAAAATATTTCTGCGCGTTTGTTGTTGATTTCTCTTGAAAGTCCCGTCGTGCTTTCTGGATAGTTGAACTTTTGTCGCCAGGTTCATTAGTCTCATGGAAAATTGCCCAACCTAATCGGATCTGACCTTTTTGAGCCTAAATTAGCGTAAAATTAGACGTGGATAACCTCGTAAGCGAACTTGAAATTCGCATCTGTATCATATACATTCAAGCGAAACCTAGATTAAAAGAATGAACTTATCGTTGAATTTTGAGGAACTTTTGGATGAAGGTTTTTTTTTCTTGCGCTGTATTTTTAATTCAATCGTACTATTTTCACAGAGAATTGATGTGCAATATTAAATCTACGTATTGTATTCATTAGCCAATTAATTTAATATTTAAAGATAACAATTTTGGGTTTGCTTTATTTTTAACGGGGTTATCCAGATTGCAAGGGTTCCTTTATAGTTGAACTGCTTCTGTCGAAAGTGTTCACACATATTCAAGATGCCCGTCTGACGTTTTACACTGAATTTCAGGTTGGAATGGCCAGTGAGAACATTAAGTTTCAGTCATGACAGCCTGTTGATAGCCTCTGGTTCGGAAGACTTGGTGATCGATATCGCCCACGTGGAATCTGGTGAAAAAGTGGCCGAAATCAACGTTCACATGCCGAGTTTCACCGTGGCTTGGCATCCGAAGCGATATCTTCTCGCCTACTCCTGTGATGATAAGTTCGCGTCGAGGACGAAAGAGATCGGATCCCTTCGAGTCTTTGGGCTAAATTTATGAATTACTGTACATCGCTTCGGTTTCATTTTCCCTCGAGTCTTTCTGGTTTATAAAGATTTTTTGGACCGTTTCCATGTGATTCCTTGAATTTTTTTTTTTTCAGCCACAACTCAGAATTTATTTTTTTTGGACTAATATACTGGATAGTGGTTCCGCAGAGAATGGACGCACAACGGATTTTCCGCACAGTGAACCGAAGGTGCCGCTGGTTTCTGCTTCGGGGAATGGACCGTGGATTGGAGACTGGGCTTTCAGAGGATACCGATAGATCAGTATTGATGAAATTTTTTTGTGATATTGTTATCTTTTTTTCTCATTTTTCACGCGCGGAAAAGCTTCTTCGTTATTCTTGATGGTCAATTAATGTTCAAACATGAATGTACTTGTTGATTTATTTTAAAAATGTATTGACGAAAATAAAAAAAAAAAATGTGGAACGCAGCGTTCATTTAATTTACTTTCGCATTAGTTCGAAAGTCATGGTTCCGAGAGGTTTTTGGAATCAATCGGCAATACTCGGCCAAGGCTCATTATAAGGAATTTTCGGTTAGACTGAAGGTTTTTTTCCAAGTCGTAAAGGCTTCGTTGTCGAAAGATTTTTGTTTGTGCTGGGAAAATGTTTTATTTTGACGGTGATCAAGTATTTATTTCCTAAGATGACAATCGAATACGTTTCAGTCATCATGACGAGCCAAAGAAACCAAGAAGAACAATCTGGAATCAAGACCCCTTTTGCAAGGAAGCCCGAGTCCTCATGTAGAGCAGTAGAATCGCAGCAACCCGCATTCCTGCCAAAATGCTGGCTATGACCCCGAGGTTCCTGAACCTGCCCTCGGGGCTCATTCCTAGTGTCTCCAGGACTGCATTTCCATCCGGATAAGGACAATCTGGGCTCGTGGTGTTGGTTTCTTCGAAGCATTTGAAGCGCACGTCTGCCCATTGGTTCGCAAACAGGCCTTCGGACGTGTAGAAGAACCAGGATGCCTTGTGAATCCACGCTATCATCTGGGAAATATTTTTTTTTATTATATATTTCTGGAGATTTTAAATCACCGTGTATATAGAGCTTCCGAATATCTGGGCTTTGATGATAAATACTGTCCTAATTTCAATTACTGTATTTACTTGAGTACCATGTGCACAGGAGTTTTTCAGTTCAACATTTTGCTATAATCTTATCCCCAAGTAAGACATGCACCACAATTTTTAGTGCATCTAAAACAACAAAATTTTGACAATGAAAACAACAAAACTTGAATTTAGGCATGAATTGAACAAAACTCTGATCAATTTTCAAATTTTTTCAGTACAAAAAAGTTTTCTTGTTACATTTGTTCCAAATTTCTCCATTATAATTAAGTATAATGCACGCATAACTTCCTAAAACTCCTTGAAATATTTGTGCCTGCTTATGACACAAACCCCTTTTTTTCTTATGAAATTTGAGAAAAAAGGTGCGTGTGGTACTTGAGTAAATACAGTAATTGATTTTAATTGATTATCTTTTATAACAAAGCTCCTGCATATTTTTATTTAAAATTACCTATTTCCAAAACAAGTCTGTTTTGTGTTCCACTGAATGATGTAATTTTCCCCTTGAATATAATAAACTAATTTTAAAATTCATTTTCAGTGATGAAATGACCACACCTCTGCTCAGTGTTCCTCTGAATGGGAGCAATTAGCCCAGAAAAAGAATAAAAATAAGTATGTAGTCAGTTTGCCTTTGTCAAATAGCACGCCCTAGTTTCGTGTTTCTCTGCAAAAATTAATTATGCCTCATTAGCCCGTAAATAGAATAAAATATTAAATTATGATAAATTATTTGCATAATAGCACACCTGAGTCCTACTGTGCTCCTCTGAATGTAAAATTTTTTTATTGTAAATGTGGTAAAACTATTGAAAAATAATCCATCAGTTTTAAAATACAGTATTACGCGTCTGTTTCATGTTCCTCTGCGCGGGAGCCATTTTGTCCGTGGATGTGAAACGCGCTAATGCAATTTCTTATAATTCTTGTCTCTTGAACTGTGATTCCGTTAATTATCCTCATGCTTCGTTCACTATAAATTAATGTCTGAGACATTCGATGATAATAAAGGTATGATCTCTCGTAAATGAAGTGTGAACGATTTTATACATTTTTTTCTGGATAAATTATTTTTTTACGATGATTTGTGGTCCCGAGACGAATGAACTGATCATGAATTGAAGCAATAAAATGTCATTCCATTGAATGTCAGACGTCATTGAATCAAGCGACCCAAACAATCGAATTTTTAGTGAAGAACTGTTGGCAAAAAATAATGAAATGTAATTGCGCAAATATTGCAGCTATACTAATTCTACGGGCTTTATTTCGCGGGAAGTCGCTTATTTTCTCAGGTCATTTTTGATCAATTAGTGTCGTGTTCAAGAAAACTTGGTATTTTCATTCGTAACATCGTAATTTATACTTGCAGAGGTATTCCGTTTAAACCAGCCGAGATAATCGGAGTTTTTTTTATATACCGAAGTCCTTTATGATGACGTGTGATTCACCTGAGGTAAGGCCCTTGGGTTAGCAAAGAACCCGCCGCCGGCAACATACAACACGAGATTCACAAAGGCTATCATGGGTAAAACCACGGAAACCCTCTGGAAGACGATGCCGAACAAGTAGCCCAAGGATGCGTTGGTGGCCGTGAGCAGGATCAAGTACAGCACGGTTAATGGCATTCTGGACCATGGGTCCAAGTTCAGTCCAACAATGAAGTACGTTGGGCCGCTGGTCATTAATGGCAGGGTCACGAGCCATGCCAGGTCAAAGAAGGTTTTGGTCACGAAGAAGACCCAAACGTGGTACAAGCCGTGACCCTGATAATTTTTTATAGATTTACTCAGCTGCATTTACTTGATCACCGGTTCAAAAATGAAAAATGTTCACAAGTCAAGAATTTTAACTTTTACATTTATCCATTTATGCTCATATCAAAAGAAAAATTAATTTTATTCAAAGTTTGTCTGCAGTGTGATTCAAAGATATAGTGAATGCAAGAATCTTGGAACATGTAAAGAAAAAGTTTGTACTTCAGAATTGTGGAGATGTACTGTATTTACTTGAGTATATGCTTTACCATATGTCCTTGCTCCATAAGATTGCTGCACATTCATTTTTAACCTTAAAATTTGGGTTAAAAATTTGTTGTTGCCCAACATTCGCACCCCAGTTTTCGAAGAAAAAATTTTGACTATTCAAGGATCACAACAGTTTAACTTTTTGAATGTATACTTGAATCAAAGGGGAAATCAAATGCATTCAAATTCCTTTTTTTTATAATTCATCTGCAATGTGATCCAAGGATAATTTATGCAGGAATTGTGGAAAATTTGCAGTAAAAATTGGGTGGACGGACTTCTCGCCGGAGCTCATATGTGAGCTGCCGAATTTACGCTGCTCCCCCTTCCCCCTGCCTCACTCCCTGAACCAATCACTCTCTCCTTGAAGAAAAATCATGAGAGACTTCAGAAGGCCTGTTTGAATAGGTATAAACAGTATAGTAGGAGAAGTACTATCAACAAATATAATTAATATTCATTTTTATAAACCTTATGGCTTTACTGAAGGTTCTCTCTTCATTACTCTTGATTATAAAAGTTGAGTACATGCAATGAGAAATTGTCTGAATTAAATTTGCTATTAAAGGGTTCTTATATTGTATTTATTCTTATTCATTCTCAATGCTGCCCTTCCTATATGGACATCAAAATTGTTTCTAACAATTCAAACTAGAAATTTGTATGATATAAATGCATACCTTATGAAGTTTTCCAAATATCATTTGTTTGATGTGAAATATTCATGATTTATATTGAGTTCACAACCATGCATAATTTGAGTTCATAATTACTAATATTGCTTCATTGATTGATTCCCTGTTTTCCAGTGATGACTTTTTCAAAATATCAGTATTGGTACAGTACAGTATTTATATGGACATCAAAATTGTTTCTAACAATTCAAACTAGAAATTTGTATGATATAAATGCATACCTTATGAAGTTTTCCAAATATCATTTGTTTGATGTGAAATATTCATGATTTATATTGAGTTCAAAACCATGCATAATTTGAGTTCATAATTACTAATATTGCTTCATTGATTGATTCCCTGTTTTCCAGTGATGACTTTTTCAAAATATCAGTATTGGTACAGTACAGTATTTATGAAATGGAATAATCAGAGTAATGAAAAGAGAACCTTCAGTAAAGCCATAAGGTTTATAAAAATGAATATTAATTATATTAGTTGATAGTACTTCTCCTACTACACTATTTATACCTATTCAAACAGGCCTTCTGAAGTCTCTCATGATTTTTCTTCAAAGAGAGAGTGATGGGTTCAGGGAGTGAGGCAGGGGGAGCAGCGTAAATTCGGCAGCTCATATGTGAGCTCCGACGAGAAGTCCACTCAGGGGGTTTTAGGTAGTGAGGCCCAACTGTATTTTAAGACTTGCAAGAATGGAAACTCGATTCTCAGAAGTAAATCTTCCTTCTGTGGCCAGGTTTCAAACAGGTTCCCTCTATTCTCATTAAACAATATACGGCAATCACTAATTGGAAGGGTTTTGTCCCAAATTCTGCGCCCACTATTGGAATGACCAGCAAATGCAAGAGGGCGACCGTGTTTTCCCAGAGCAGGAAGGCAACCTATAGTAAGAGTTGTATCTGGAGTAAGGACTTTGACCACACCTTCAGGATACAATATTTAATCTTCACAACAATACACAGAGTCAGATAACAGTCAGGGATAAAAGACAGATGATGCTCAGTCAAGTAGTCAACTCAGAATGATCGCACTTGGTTCGTCTTGCTAGGTCGCTCCCAAGCCTCCACTGATCCTTCATCGGATAAGCTTCTGTGCGTGGGCTCTCTGGACGGTCAAGGCAGATCCGGGGTTTGTCCGCTAGATGTCACACTGGTATGTAAGTGGGTTAGCTTACTCTATCCAACCAGGTATTGAGTCCAAGAGGACAAATTATTTTGGGAATATGCTTTAATTTTCAGATCCAGAAAAACTGGCAGATTTTAATTATCATCAAGTTGATTGATTCGATTAAATACCGTACTCTTGAAATCACTTTGAAGATCACTGTGTCGAAAATAGAGACGACTGTTGGAAAAAAAATACTGTAGGTCTCATGTGGACAGTTTTCAGTGTTGGATGCATTATACTGTACTTCACGACAGTACAGTATTAATACCTCTCAAAAGCCGGAAACGTGCTTTGTGGAATACGCGGTAATCCGTGAATGTTCGTTCCCGTTCGTGTTTGTCCTCTTCGTGATCATGAGTCATCGTGAATGGGTCTGTTTAGTTGCCGTCAGGGTATCTGCATGGACCCCTTTCCGTTGGTTGCAAGTGCGAACTTGCGATGCGCGGGAAAACTTACGGAAAGTGTAATTATTCCCTGAGAGTGTTCTCGATCATGCGGTGCCCATGAAGATTTTCCTAGCATTCTGATTTATTCGTTTTGAATGCTGTTCTAGCTCTTCAAAATTTACCAGGAGATGAAGAAAGATCGGCGCACAAGTGCCGAAAGTTCCACTTTTGAGTGATTGCAACTTTCGTGGGACGAGGTGTTATCAGATGATCCTGGTAAGTATGTGTACGTTAAATATTCGTCTAATCCGCAGAGAGAATCGGTGAGTGAATGAAGTGGGAGAAGATGTGAGTTTTTATCCTCGGCGATGGCTCCAACCCGTCAGCCGTGTTCAGAACTCGAGAATTTCTCAAGTAGTTTTGTGTCGAACGTGATCTGCAACCGCAGTGAGCCAGTTTTCGACAGTCACATGGATGATGACTGTTCTGCCGAAGGAGCCACCGGGAAGCTTTGGTGGACAAATTTCTCTTTCGGCGAAAATTACGACCCGGAAGATGATTTCGCCGATAAGACGGGTCAAATGGAGC